AGTGTCTTAAATATACATAAGTTTGGTTTCAACAGTAAATATTGACTCCATAAATATGGTACCTGGGCAGTAAAAAAAAAAATAATTGAGGAAGAGAGGGAGTGCAATTTTATATTTTATTTGAACCACGGAATTTGAGGAAAGAGCAATCAAATGGGGATGCAGAGAAGATTGCCTCCTTCATTTCACTTCTTATAGGGGTCATTGGTCAAATCTTCTGCTTCACTGATGCGCTTTCACTGCCCCCTCCCCTGAGCTTTGCCAGCTGACGCCAGCTAAAGCTGTCTGATGTAATTCTCACTTTCCTTGTGCTGCCAACTTCAACTGTGTGCTTCTCACTACTGAAGTCTGAGGTTTAGAAAATAACTCCTGCCATTAGAAGTAGGTTGTGAGCTTTGATTTGGATTCGGTAGCTGAAGAAGATGGGAACAGAAGGATGGCAACAAAGAGGCCTGGGCTGCCTTGCCACAGGCTTTCTGTGCCACTGAGCAAGTCACTTAATCTCCCTGTACCTGTTTCCCAGGTCTATGCAGGAATAATAGCCTTTCCTTAGCTTACGGCAGTGTGGTTGGGATAAAGACTTTGAAGGGATTAGGTCCTGTAGCTGGAGGCTTTCAAATCTACTTTGGATGGATAAAACAAGTTGCTGAAAGCAGGTGCTGAGGTCCTAATGTAAACTGTACCAAAGTCACAGTGGTGTCCTGGCATTGTGCATCTCCCTTCCTTAGCCTAACACAAAAAAATTCTCCCATGGAGCTCACACACATAAACAAAAATGGAAGTATGTGTTGGGCAGCTTCCCAAAGCATTAGATACACTGTCATCCTTAATGTTCTGTCAGCCAAGTGCTGAAATGGAATGAAGTAACACCGGGTATCTACAGTTCTCTCTTAGAGTTTCAGCTCCCTTTAACTGTCAGAGCTAGCTAGTAAATTGCTTCCAAAATATCCAGGTGAGATGACAAGTCTCTTAGTCATGGTTTTGACCTACCAGTTTCTGGCCCAGCAAGTAACTAGAACAACTGAGGTCATCTGAGCCAGCTGGGACCATTTTATGGAATCACTAGGGCGGTCTCCCGGTGCTTCTTCCTAGGTGGCTGCACACATACCCAGACCTGCTTTCAATCACTCGGATTGTTCATGAGCTAACTTGAAGCAAAACCTGGCACGGTGGGGAGTGAGGATGTAACTAATGTTAGATAAAGGATGAGCTAACTGCCAAGACTCTTAAGTATGTGGTAATTGTCCTGAAGTAAGTATACTCGTCACTCTCCCAGAGTACCCCATCGCAGAGTGGTTACCATTTAAGAATATTTGCTAAGGATTTATACCTTTTTTCAGCAACAAAAGTAGAGCTTTGTTCCACCTTCAAAATTAATGTGACCTGCTCTTGGGAGTGAAAATTCTCAGCGTCGATGGTAAGTTTTTTACATTTTCCTAAAAAAAATGAAGTACACAAGTCTGAAGGCTAGAGGCCCAATGATGGAACTTCTGTATGACTTTTGCTTTCTTTTGTATCTCCCCAAAAATATGCTAGGCCATGAGAAATTGGACTTTAAAGTTATGATGCTTCATGTATTTCAAAGGAAAGCCTTTCTGAAATAGTGCGAATGTTTTGCATAAATTTCTTTGAATAATGCTTCCGAGAAATTCTAAGCTGATATGACACCGTACAGAGGCAATAACAGAAGAATTACGTAAATGTAGGCTGGACTTTCATTCTAGAATTTTTGCACCAAGATATTCCAGAGAGTATTGTTGCTTTCCAGTGATGTAGGCCTTCAATTCCCTTCTTTACTAGAGAACTTACGTTCAAAGACAAACTCTTAACGTATTCCTTGTGAGGCTGGACCCATATGAGCTCTCTCTGTCTTGTTGTGAAGTGCCTTGGGAGGCTGGGAGGAGGAGAGGTGATGCAGGTATCTTTGTGTTTGTTTCGCCTCTTTTGGATATTACACGCTGCCTAATGATGAGAGAGGGCTCATGCCTCGTTAACCTGCAAGAGCTGCTGGTGGCATTAAAGACACTTGCTTAAGGATGGACTTGCCATGCCTGGGGACCTGAGCTGTCGCCTCTGTGGTGGATGCTGCATCTCTTCTAGCGAGCGCTCTTCTGCTTGTGGCAGGTCATTGCTCAGATCCACGAGACTGTCAGCAAAGCAGCTGCCGTTACTGTGTAAGGAGAGCTCAAGTCCAAAGACAAAAGGTTTGGAAGGAGTAGCTCTGCACTGTAGGCAGCACCCAGCTCTGGTTATTCTTATATTAGATTTTTTGTAATTATGTTAATTACTAGCATGAAGATTGCCGTCTCTCTTCTGTAGTTACAGTAACTCTTGCTGGATGGGCAGCTATAAAAACACCCATTCTTCCCATCCATTCTTCTCTTGCACAGGGAGAAGAGAAGCCCCAGGAAATACAGTTGAAACCAAATTAGATGGTAGCAAGGGTGCTGGAAGAGAACAAACTGTAAAGTGTCTACTTTATGCCAAATCATTTTAAGGACAGCTTGAGAGGTGCGAAAAAAAGATAAAAATTACTGAGGAGAAAAGGTACATGGTTTGGAGCACTGAACTTTTGAGTTACCACATTGCATTGTCGAAGAACACAGCTGCACTTAGAAGCTGTGCTTAAGAGCAAAAACACGTGGCCAGGAAAAACACTTCTCACGTGCTTCCCTGCTGCAGTCTCTGGGACGCCAACACTGTGTAGCTGGAGGGGAGCTTGGTTAATATTTATGGTAGTGAACAGTGTGACAAAACGTTTCCATAGAAAAAAATTCTGCTTGTGTTGGTTGGGAAAAGCTTATTTACTTCTTTGAATGGAAAGAAATGCAGTGCTACAGGCTTGAGGAAGAGTGGCTGGAAAGCTGCCTGGCAGAAAAGGACCTGGGGGTAGTGATCGGGAGCTGGCTGAACATGAACCAGCAGTGTGCCCAGGTGGCCAAGAAGGCCAATGGCATCCTGGCCTGGATCAGAAATAGTGTGGCCAGCAGGACTGGCAGAGTGATTGTCCTCCTGTACTAGGCACTGGTGAGACTACATCTCAAATCCCACGTTCAGTTTTGGGCCCCTCACTATAAGACAGACATTGAGGGGCTGGAGTGTGTCCAAAGAAGGGCAACGGAGCTGGTGAAGGGTCTAAAGAACGAATCTTATGAGGAGTGGCTGAGGGAACTGGGAGTTGTTCAGCCTAGAGAAAAGGAGGCTCAGGGGAGACATGTCTCTCTGCAACTACCTGAAAGGAGGTTGTAGCGAAGGGGGGAATCAGTCTCTTCTCTCAAGTCACAGGCAACAGGACAAGAGGAAATGGCCTCAAGTTGTGCTGGGGAAGGTTTAGATTGGATATTAGGAAATATTTCTTCACCGAAAGGGCTGTCAAGCATTAGAACAGACTGCCCAGGGAAAGTGGTACTAGGAACTCACTTTGAAGTTGTTAATGCTCCAGGGAGATCTTGTTTTGTGTTATTTGAGTCTGATATATGCTATAGTCCAATTCTGATCCTTTGTGACAACAGCGTAAACTCAGAATAAATCCTGTTGGGATTCTGGCCTGTGGCTCTTCAGTGGAGTAATTCTGTTACAGGTGGCAGCAGCATCTGGTCTTTTTTCTTTTTAATAGTAGCTATGAGGTCCTTAAGGGATGAGCAATTTGTGTACAGCTCAAGTTCTTTTCTTTCAGCTAAAGCTTCATAATGACTTTCTCACCCACAGTTAAAAAAAAAAAAAAAGTGTAAGATACCACAGCGTTCTGGGTCTGTGAACAACTGCTCTGTCACCGGAGTCCGTGAGAGTCAGTGTTATCTGTAGGGATCTCAGCCCACAGGCGATACTGTCAAACTGGACTTTGCAGCTTAAGGTACTTTTGAGGAACTAACTTTAGTGCCCCTAGGTGCTTTGACAGCGTATTAATGAGCAGCATTAATCAGATTGAGGATGTAAAAGGGAATGATTCACAGAGAAACATTGTGTTCTCTCGGTCTGTAACTGTGGGAAGGCATTGGTAATGCATGAGTAGGATTTGTGGTATTTTTCAGTTCACATGCTTAGGCATTTCCTCTGCAGCTTCAGGAAGGGATTTATTTCTCTGCAGGAAGAAGTGACAGGGGTCTTTTGAAAAGAAAGGTGAGGTCCTACAGGTTAAAGTGTGAGTGCGAAGAACAACTGGCTAAGGTTGAGGGACCCTGTTTGGGTTGGCAGGTTGACTTGTCTGCACAAGCTCGTGCACTGAGACAGACTGGATCTGTTGTCGGATTTTAAGGGACTTTTGTTCTGTCTTTTGTTTTAGAGCAACCTGTGGAAAGCCAGTGTCGATGCTTAAGACAAGAGCTGATGTGCAGATCAGGGCTCTGCTCACAGCATCGCTACAAATATTCATCCAGGGCCTGTGGCAGATGTTTGAGCCCGGCCAGCTGCTCTGGTGGGATATTTGGTGACCACCGGTGGGGTGCTTAAGCATTGCTGAATGCCTGACACAGCTAACCGTATGCTGCGTGCAGTTCTCACCCCCGCTACCTCCTCTGTTCCTTTCTCCTCTTCTTTGGTTTATCTTTGGTTGGTGAGCTTCCAGCCAGACACCGAGGAGCAGGGAAGGGTGTCAGTCACTTCAGGCAGGTGTTGCAGCCCTGGCTCCTATAGCATCCACACCAAATCCCCAGAGCAGAGTCTGTTCCCTTAGTGGGACATAAGCTCTGCTAGTCAGGCCTGTGATCAGTTTGGCCATTGGTGTAACTTAGGGTAGATAATCTGAACTGCTTGCTGTTCAAAAAGGCAGCAAGGGAGGGGGAGAGTTTGATATGGACCTGTCAAGAAATAGCATGAAAACTAATTGCAGCATGGGAGGGAATGGGGCACTAGGGTTGTGATCCAGGAATGGAAAACATGAGCTGTGACACAATGGAAAACTCCTTTTAAGAGATAAGTACTTTTGACTTGTTCCAGAAAACGAGCAGTGAACAAGTGGAGATGGTTTTAGTCACTTTTTATGTTCTCTGATTTTGACCTAGGTCTGCTCCAGCTCCTACCCAAGGTCCCACCAGTGCTGGGGCTGCAGGGCCAGCCCCTGCTACCAGTGTGTCAAGCAACAAACGCCTGCAGCAGACACAAGCCCGGGTGGATGAGGTAAGTGGCTCCAGGTGATTTATTGCTCACCACAAGGGTACTGATGTTGTTGGTCGTTTTTTCCTTTAAGATACTTCCCTCCCTAATGATCCAGCAAGTCCTGCTTACCTGAAGGCAGTGGATCTAAGAAATCAGGTTTACCGAAGGATAGCATTTTTGAGGAGACAGTACGAAAGGGATTCTGTGTGTGAACAACCTTGTACCAGTAACGGTGCTGCAGAATAAGCATGGGCATTGGTGCCAATTCAGGAATTCTTCCCAATCAGTTAGGTTAGAAGAAAATGTGGTACAACCAGCTCTTTTAATGTGTTCTTGCATTCCTAAAAGTTAGACACTAATCTCAAAGCAACAGACCATTGGCTTCTCATAGATTCAAGCCCTAAGAATTGTACGGCTGTGTTCATTAGCCAGAGCTCTATTGATGAATCATCACAGTTTATCCCCGAAGAAAGGCACCCATATATGATGTCATAAGAGCATCTTCAACAAATCCCAACTCCTTTCGTTGGTCTTGGAAGAGCATGTGCATGTTCCAGCTTGGATGCTTAAATTCTTGTAGCGCACAGACTACCCTGCCACCTTGGCTGTAATACCAGTGTCCATCTGACTGCTGGGATAGTGGGAACAAGTGAGCATACTGCTGCTCCTGGATGTAGTTCCGGAGCTGTACCAGCAGCTGCAGTAGCAGCTGTAGCATCCTTGCATGCCTGCTGTGCAGATTTGTGTGCTGGGTATTAAGTACAGAGTTCTGCTAAACTCCTGTACAGACTTAAGTGGCTAATTGTTTTCTGTCTATGGGGAAGCGGTCAGGGCTTGTGTGATTATTTAATGGCAATCCAATAAAATACATGCTAGAAAATAGCTATTTACATGTGTAAAGTCCTCTATTTTCTAAAGCTTCAGATATGCTTTAAAAAGGGTAGAGAAGACCTCACAACATCCAGCTCAAATGCATTTTTTTAAGGTGATTTAAATACACCTGTCAAACTGAGCTTTGTCTTTTTGAGAACTTTTTCTTTGCTGAAGATCTGAAGCAGGGGCTTTATGCCTCCTCACTGCTAATGTTCAAACCTGATCATAAGAGCATCCTCTGATTGCAGAAATTTCTAGGCCACGTTCTCTCATTATCACTAATTTTCTCATCACACTAACTTCATTGACATTAGTGGAGTGTCTTTTCCAACGGGGAAAGGAATATTACATTTCAGCTTTTGTCTTGGGTCAGAATAATGAAATAAACATCTTGTCCTGAACCTCTTACATCATGATGGTGCTGTAATTGTTTATGTGAGCTACAGCAGAAGTAATTGTCCCTAGAAGATGAAAAATAATTGCTAGTTATTGTCTAAAATGAGTGATGCAGGTCAGATACGTAGAGCTCTTCAAGCAGATCAATGGAGATGGCTCCAGTAAGGCTAGTAAAACCCTGCTTTGTGTTTAAGGTGCTCTGTATTCTGAGACTTTTCACCCAAGCCCTTGCAAGTTTGTCGTCTTGTGAAGCGTGATGGTGTAATTTTGGCAGGAACGCTTGCCCAGTGTGGAGGGGACAGTGAGTAGCTCTTGGAGCTGAGGATTACGTGGGTGGTAGTCAGGATCCACACGTTTTTTGCCTCCCGTTTGCGAGGCAGGCTGAGGTTGGTGTGGGTTTTGAATGGGTAGCACGCAGTCAGCAGATCGTTATTTGACAGGAAAATCACAGTATAAGAATAGCCAAAGGAGAAAAACACCACTGGGCTTTTGGTACGGTGAAGTCACTAGGGTGAAACCGGTGTACAGAACGTGAGGATGCGACCTGTTACACGTTGCTCTCGCCTTCCTACTAGATCTTTCCTGGTTTTTTCTTTCGTGTCTTGTGCGAAAGTAATCTGTAGGTGGCACCAAACACCAGGGCACCACATTCCTGCGGCTGCTCGCCAAGCGCTGTTGGGCACAGCACATCCAAACCCAAAACTCAGCAACGTGATCGCGACTTTGCCTAAGAGAAAATGTTTGATCTTAGTGAAATGCCTGATCTTTGTAACGTTATATCAGTGCTAAGAGAGACTTTCAGCTACATTCATGTTGGTTTTTCCCCCTGATCTCTCTAGGCCTCCTAGAGCTTATTTTTGAGGTCCAAATCTTGTCTGTAGTCTAGGCAAACATTTATTTATCTGACAAAAATGCAGTCTCATCTGGACAAGTATTCACTGCAGTCAGGTTAAGGTCAATAAATAGTTCTGGTCTAAGAAAAAAGAAAGAGAATGGGAAAGAAATGTAAAGGTCTTTTGTTTAAGTGTTTTCAAATAGTTTAAAATTCTCATTATGAAACATGGACAAAATTTTATTTGATATAAAGTTAAATGCTTGTAAGGTTTTGGGTTGGAAAAGCAAGTAAGAAAATTTGGGTTGACAAAAACATTTGATTTTGTTTTAGGTTTGGTAGACAAGTGAAAGAAATGTTTTGAGTTCTGGAGCAGTACTTAACCCTATGCCAGTCCTATCAAAGATTCTTTCACTATGGCTTTCATCTCACTGTATTTAAATTATATAATTTTTTTAATAATTCTGGGTTTTGGCAGGTAATAGTTAAATTACATTAAATACAAACAGCATGGACTTCCTTATTACAGAGTATGAGAAATAACAGACCAGCAACCATATTCCCTGCCAGAACAAGTGAACACAACTTCCCTGTGATTCGTGTACTATCCAACATTTACACTAGTGATGAATTTGTACAGGATTTCTATTTAGATTTACTGGCTTGCCAGAATAAGGTTTTCATCCAGCTCAGTGTAAAATATATGCATGAATAGGCCTTACCTATTGTGTACTGGTTGAGTGCACCTTTATCACTGAGGCTGTGCAATGAGCTGTGGCATGAGCTCCCTGCTACGCTTCAGGCTGAATTTTCTCAAGTAGGATTTTCTCCATCTCCACTTTCAAGCAGAACTTCAACTTGCATCTGCAAAGTTATCTTGTCTGTAAAAGAGCTGCAGAATAAATAAATTCCTTGGTTAGGAAAGGTATACAGTTTCCTCTAGAGCGGCCTTTAGCCAATTTCTGTAGTTCATGTAAGGAAGTTATATTAAGTGTCTAAGAAAAATAATGGCTTAGTCTTAGTGATGACTGGACAATGTCAACCAAATTTTAATACAGTGGTACTGGTCTCCGTCAGTTTTCTGTATCTATAGTGCTGTAGCTAGTGTTAGGCTAAAAGAAATGAAAAGTTTTAGTGAAACTAATTACAATATTTGATAACATCCTTTTATTTTTTGCCTGTAAGAGCATCTGAGCACCATACAGCTATGTTCATCTTGCTCTCACTGTATCTGATTCCACAGACGTGGCCTCTGAAGCACTGTCCAGGTAATTGCCTTCACGTATCCTAATGGCAAATGTCTGGTTTCAGTAGGATATGTGCTATTCCAGAGGGTGAGCATCCAGGTGACCTTCAGCTCCACGGGGTGTGAAATTTAACCTTAGGCTGTGCCTTTGCAGGTGGTAGACATCATGAGAATGAACGTGGACAAAGTGCTAGAAAGAGACCAGAAGCTATCAGAGCTTGACAACCGGGCGGATGCATTGCAAGCAGGTGCCTCACAGTTTGAAACCAGTGCAGCCAAGCTGAAGAGAAAATACTGGTGGAAAAATTGCAAGGTAAGAAATCTAAATTCTTGTTAAGAATCACTTCGTCGCAGGCGTTATTTTCACTTGTGTTAAATGGAACTTTGCTTGTAAGATGGCATCTCTAAGTGGTCTCTTCTTGTCAAAGGGAGAAAGATATGCCTGGCCCTCTAGGCTCCAGGATAAGTCAAGCAACTTTGGTCTTTACCAGAACTTAATCTTTAGATAATTTCTGCAGTATATAAAAGGTAGATACAAATTTTTGATACTTCAGTCAGTGCCTACAGGTAGGGATGGGAGAGCACTGTAGGTTACTTCATGTCATTTCCCTGTGTGAACCCCCAAACTTTCACAGGTAATAGTAGTGAAAGAAAAGAAGCTTTTGTTTTGTGAAAGATCATCAGCATCTTGATCTTTTTTTCAGGATGGTAAACTACAAAAAAATTCTTGGTCCCGCAAACCGCTATGAGAAGTGAGGAAATGACAAGTCTGTTTTAAACAGGGGCAGATTAGCAGAGAGCAGGACTGTAATTAACCAGCTCTTTCCTCTGCTGTCTTCAAAGTCTCATCTTTTCCCACAAGCAGAAGGAACCTCATTCTCCTTTGGTTTTTGAGACCTCCTCCAGGATTTGTGTTTTCTGGACTCAGAAACTTCAGCTCTTCTTACTCATATAAGATCCCATATCCTTGCTTCTTTCTACTCTTGCACCACGAACATGAACAGTATGCCAAAAATTCATATCCTTTTCTCTTCAGTACCAAATAAAACCACCTGTTCCCAAAAGAGAATCCCATATGTATTCCTCAGCAGTCTGTTGCCTGCTTTATCTCTTCAGTCCACAGTGCTATGAAATGTAAAGCGAGGCAAAATATTCTGGGTAAACTAGATGCACAGACACTCCAGAAGTAAGTGGATTTAGATTAGAATTTCAACTGTGTGGTTCCTCTGGCCCTCTTGTAGCTGTTTCTCAGTTGCTTTGCCTGACAGGGCTTTTGGGAGCTACAGGCACAGATTTAGAGTTAGATTCACCCATGCTGACTGCTGTGCTACCCTAGACTTCCAAACCTACCCTCATTCTTCATTCCTCATTGCCCCTTCCCACTTTACCCCATCAAACAGATTCCACTTGCCCTTTCTCTGGCTCCCAAATGCTGAAAGGAAGGGGGAAAAATAAACATCCTGCAAGGCAGTGGCTAGCTCTGTCCTCCAGACCTAGGCTGGGAGGCATGAAGGCCTTGACTTGACACGTCCATGTTTCTTGTGTTTCAGCCTTTCCATTCTCACTGGGGTAATGGTGGAAATTGGACTCCAGCATCTCTGCTGGCCTCATTAGTATTCAGCAAGTCTCACGCAGGGGCCTCTACCCCACACAAACCCGGTGCTGGTACGGCCTGTGCACAGCTGGCACTGCTGGATCTGTTCCTGGGGGAACAGATTTCAACTTTGCAATGAGCCATTTCCAGGCTAACGTGCCTGCTAGCATGGGCTACCTCTCTGAGCAGCACAAAGCCAGCACGAGTAGCTGTTAGGCATTAGACGTGTCCAGCTGCCTCTTCCCTCCCTGACTATAGGAATGTGGTGAAAAATGATGGGGTTACTCCAGTGTAAAATGGGACATGGCCATGTGTGAATCCAACCACTTAAATCACCGCTGGAGTTGTTCTGCTTTGGAAATTTCCTTTTTCTTTGCTGCTGGAAATGGATGAGGTTGGTCACTGCATGTTAGCTGATGGGCAAGAACTTGCTACCTTTGACAAGGAGCCATGTCCATTGCTGGTGTTCAGCTCTTCCTAAAATTGACACTAAATTTGGGGCATTAACAAGCCTGGTGCAGTGAGTCTTTGCAAGAAGTAAAAGTGCAAGGAATGAGCCACTAAGTAAAAGCAAAAAAACTAAGCGGTTAATGTCTTTCATGTGAAAACCTGACTTTCTCTCTTTTTGTTCTTTTTCTCATAACTTTCTTTTTATAGATGATGATCATCCTTGGTGTAGTATGCGCAGTCATTCTCATTATAATTATAAGTGAGTAATTCAGTTTCTCTTTCATTTATGATCTCAATAGCTCTGTGGCTTACAGCATGCTGATATATTAAAAAATGAAACAAAAAATGGATATAAAATATTTAATCTGATTAATCTGTGAAACTTCCCTTCTAGTGTCATGTTATAGTGAGAATTACTGCAAACTCACTGGACACTCAAATAGGTAGAATTTGTTGACATTTAATGTGTTTTACACTAGCATGTTACATAACTTTCTCTAGGATAAAAGACTCCCCTTTTCATGTTTATATAATTTTTTTATGCAGTCTCAGGTATCTTCCTTTCATTACAACCAGTGCCACAGTCCTGGTGTTTTCTAGTGAGAACAGTAATACTTGAATTGCCTCATGCCTATAAAAAGAGGGTGAAGGCCCACAGGCAAATGAGCATCCGATGAATTTTTTAAAAGCATGAAGGTGCCTAGTTCTCACCAAATGAGCTGGAATTTCAGATGTTAGTGCTTCTGAAAATCCCTTTGCATCTTGACTACCTAAATACTGTTAAAAGATGGCCCAAAGTCTTAGTGATTTCTTGTCTCAAAAGATCGTCTCATTCCACCCATTTGTTACAAGAAAGATAGGCTATAAATCAATAATAGCAGTCATGCTGGTCGGGAGCCAGGGATCTTGTAATGACAGGAACTGAACATTTTATTTATGTAACCTCCGTGTTAGCAACAGCCGTTATGTGACATAACTGTAATATGGCATTAACTCCTAAAAGGGAGATTTCTTGAGTTAGACAATCCAGCTGGTAACCCAGAAGAGATTCACCAGGAGGCTAGACTGTGGTTGTGAATTAATTCCCAGCTCTCAAATTACATGCCTTCTGTTCGGCGTGTTTCCATTTTCCTCTGTTGCTTCTGTAAAGAAGGCTTACAGAATCACCTGTAAACACGACTAACTGGATTGAGATACATGTGGCAGTTTATTAGCCTTATGAATGCTAGCACCAGAGTGACCCAGAATAATTCTAGGGTTTCGTAACACTAATACGGCAAGAATGGGAAATGGCTAGATATTAATTAACTATATTAACTGGATACTCAGGGCAACTGGCTTCAAGGGAAAGACGGGCCTTTGTTCTGCAGTTTAGTGCAGTAACCTGGGAGGACAGATGTGCAGCCATTGAACTGATCGCTGTGTATATATGCATCACCGAGCATTATGTGTATCTTAACAAGAAAGTAAAAAAGCAGACAAGACAGCTCATAATTTCTGCTTAGAAGTTAAGGCTGAAATTCTAGGTAAGTAATAACATTGTTTCCCTCCTGGTTTTAAATGTTGGATGCCTCTCCTGATAAATTTAGAACCAGACATAGCAGGTTTGACGTGGCTTAGGTTGAGTTTAGGGTATTTAATCACAAACTCGAAGGTCACATCATCAAACTCAGGTTGTGGCTCATCACAGTGAGATCTAGTGCAAGTTTAGTGAGATATAAATGTATTTAAACTCTGGGATCTTAAATTATTTTTCCAGTCTATTTGATTCTTTTCTAATAATGCCTAAAGGTTGCAGCTTCAGGAAGGGCCCTGTTGCATAACCTGTGTATTGAACTGAATGATGTATTTATTTACAGTAGCTCTCAAGTATATGGTTAAATCCTGTTGACATCAAGTGTCCAAGTGCTGTCACAGACAAGACCTGCACGGCTTCTCCAGTCACGGATTTGAATGGGAGCAAGAGCATACCCTCTCTGCAGGGCTGGCTGTAGATACAGATAAATCGGGTAGCTCCCCACAGCAACGAGCTACCACGGGTGGTGAAATGGCCCACGCCAGGCCTCCTGCCACCCTGGCAGTGGGCCCCTGGAAAAGCAGGCTGACTCCCTGCTGAAGAAACAACAGCAGCATGTGAGACTGCACATGTTGCTGGGGCTGGTGACTAACGTCACTGTCAGTCATTGCCCTTTCTAGCTTTTAAGCTGTAGTCTCCCCTGCCTTCCACTCCAGTTCCCCCTGCAAACTCCTTTTGACACAGGAGGAGCGTCCCTATTCCAGCTAGGAAGGCAGACTGTGTGCAAGACATGCAATGCTCTTTCAGCCCAGACGTGCTAAGGGTGCTTGCCGTTCTCTGACAGTACACACCTCTGTGAGATAAAGCACAACGATAACTCTCTAATAACTGTTTGTTTATGTCCTCTTTTTTTTTTCCCCTTCTGCTTCTTTTCCCAGTTTATTTCTCCACCTGAGAAAGCAAAGAAGGAAGACTTGGCACAACTTTGTTCATATCAACCAACAATATCAGTGTTCCTTTGTTGAACTCCGCTTTTTAATTCCCGATGTCTTGGGATTTTTGCTTGTAATAACCCATAAGCATTCAGTGTGGTGTGTTTTGGAATTCTGTTGTTTCCACAAGAAACTGTACCAGCTAAATACTGCCAAGTAGTTCCATACACTGTCTTATCACTGTGTCTTAAAATGTGTACGCACTGACCTTCAGAAACTGTGGTAGATGAAACGCATCCTAAACATCTCAGAATCAAAAAATGCAGCTATGAGGATGCTCCTGCTTAAAAGGACATTGTCAGGTGGACTGGTCAACCCAAATCTAAGGTTGCAGGAAACATTAGGGCCAAAATTTTCAATCTAAGCACCTAAAGTTGGATTACAAAATCCACTGTCGGGTTAATTTTTTGAGGTAGTGAGTGTCTGCTACTCCTATTGAAGAGAGTGGTACCTACAAGTATTCATGTAAAACAGCTTATTTCAACTTAGCCAACCAAACACAGATTTTTTTGTGATTAGTTGTAGTATCCAAGACTAAAAGCATTGCCTGCAGAAAAGAAATAGGACTGGATTATCATCTTTTATGGATTTCAGTTTTGCCTTATGGGCTATTCTGTAAAAAAACAGGATGGCCTCGATATGAAAGGCAGAAAGAAAACTGTATGACAACCAAAAAAGCACTAGCTAGTACAATCCCCAAAAAGCCAAGTGAGATGCAAAAATGGTAATATAAGCATCATAAATGACCAAGATACAGACTCAAGGCACTGTCTGTCAAACTTCATGGGACTCTCTTGAAAGTCAATCCCCAATACTTATGGCCCTAACTTAAAGCACATGAAAAATTTCGGTGATGTCTGCAGCTTTCCAGCACAGTTGTAGGAAGCTACCACTGCAGCACTTTGCAGAAATGGTCCTGACTGTGAGGACAGTTCAAAAATCAGGAAGAAGAAGGTATAGGTAAATAGAGGGAGCAGTGGAGAGAGGCCAAGAAAGGGAAGGGTCCCTAGCAAAGCTTTCCCAGAGAAGAGGAAGGCAGCGAAAAACTCTTCCAAAGTAGTGGTGTTAAAAGGCTTTTAAAAAATTTAATGTAATTTGTATGTGTGTGTATAAATCATAAACTATAGTGTCATCTTTGTAAAGTGCTCAGCTGAGATATTTTTCATACTCAATTAGCTTAAACCAACATTTGATGTAATTAAGAGAAATGACATATTGCAGTTTGAGAGAATGTTCTTGTGTGCTGTTGTTGTAGGGTTTCTCTGAAACGTTGAATTCGTTTTTCTTGTTTAAACGCTGAATAATTTAATGATAGTTAACCAAGGTGAAAATTAATTATCAATTTTTGAGCCAGGAAATTCTGAATTTTTAGGATATCTCCTTCAGAATTTCTCAGAAGAATTAATATCTTGACACGGTCTTAAGACTAAAAAAACCAGAGACCCAGACCAGTTCGTTGCAGTGGATGTATATACAAATTGTGCTTAAGGAGAATTTTGCAGAGAGAATAAGCAATGATCATGAATGCTCAGTGTTTGCTAGTTGTGCTGTGCTGGGTGGTTGCAACTGGTCAGATAAGCCCCGTAGCATTTATAACTCAGCCCAGGAAGCATGAACAGCCACGTCCTTCCCTGATGCACAGACCCACAGTCAAACAGCTCCTGCAGAGGGTTAATTCTTCTGCAAGGAGAATATGGTAATATAGGACTGTTCAGGGTCATGGATTGTGCAACACCATCACCTATACATAGACTGGTACGGAGGACAATCTATAGAAACACAGTTGGAGATCTTATTTGTGTTGAAGCCAGGATTGATTGCTTTCCACTCACTGCCTCTACATTTAAAATGTTCATGCAGTTAGAGCTGCCTATTTGGAACAGTAAATTTCCCATGAAAAGGTTAACTCGTTCTTGTTTAGTCAGCGCTGATTAGAATTTCAATTACTGGGTAGAATTTTGGCTACTACTCTTCATCTCTAACTACTGCCTGGGCTTTTCCTTGGGCTGGTAAAAGGGCACAAAGGGCTTTCTTTTAGCCCATCCCCAACAACCCTCAGGGGACTGCAAGGCTGATTGCTTTCTGACTGCCAGCTTGGGACTGAGCTGAAGACTTCTGGCTGGAAACAAGGATTTTGATAGCTTTAGCCGGAGTTAGACATTGCTTGAGACTTGCATATTCTGTCCTTAAAAGAAGTGCTGACTCTTCCTCTGATTTCTGGGCTACAGCTGTACAGCTACGATGCTAGCATGATACACCGTTTGGAAGCTGAAATGGGATGGGGAGGAGCTGGTCTGTGCTTGTAGCACAGCTGCTACTTGGCTTGTCAATAAGTGCACATCAGCGTCTGAGATTGAAGAAATGTTACTTGCATCCACTCTCCACAGGGTAGTAAAGTCCTGCTTGGGCATTACACCTTCTTCCTTGCAATTTAGCTCATCTTGTGATAACATAAATGTGGCTTTAAACCTAAAAAAAAAAGGTACATGAACTTGCAGGAGCAAGTAGAGTGGAAGCCCAAACAGGGCACTTGACCTAATTTTCACTTGACAACATTACATAACAGCACTGTCAATCCAACATAATCCAATATTATTAGAAGGAGGAGAGGAGAATCTGATAAAGATTCTGAATGTAACCCAGGGTCTGTAAGACAAGAAGTGATTTAGAAATGTAGCCAGTTTGATTTTTAAAGCTGGCACTTTAATTCTATCAGAACCTGCATGAGGTTAGCCCCAGGAACAGTTCAGA